GTTTTTAAAAAAAAAATAAAAATAAACTTATTATAAGTATAAAATATTTCTAAATTTAGTTTTAAGAATAATATTTTATTTTGATAGAAACTTTAGATAAAAATTTTTTTAATTTCTACTATTGTTACTAGTAGTTTATCACTATCACATATTCTACCAAGCTATTGATAATAAAAAATTATAAAAAAAAAAGGAATATATAAAAAAAATAGGAAATATAAAAATATATAAATGTATATATAAGAAAAAAAATAAAAATAAAAAACAAAATCCAATTCTTTCAAAAGATTCAACTTTTCAGATTTCTTTTCAATAAAATAAATTCTTTTAAGATATTTTTTTTTTTAAACTATATAAAGAACTTGTATTTTAATAGTTTCTTTTTTACTATTTTTTAAGCTACAGTATATCTCTTCAATTTATATCTTTTGATCTTATACAGTATATAATTGTTTAAGATTTCTTAATCTATTTTATTCAAGAACTTATTATTTTGATTATTACTAAATTATAAAAAAGTTGACCTTAAAACTTTATTAACCTGATAATAAAAATAGAGTAATTTTGTTTAAAAAAATAATAACTTGAAAATATATTATTCAAATCTTATTAATCTTATAATCTTGTAATTGAATAAATTTAATTGAAGAAGAAAAGAGAACTAGAAAACTAATTAACTCTTTTTTTTTACTAATAAATAATCTTTTTTGCAAGTTTTATAAATTTTTATTAAATAATAGATAAATAGTTACCAAATTTTTAATAAATAATTGACAAATTTTTAATGAATAGTTTTGTTAAATAGGTGTTAAATTTTTAATAAATAATAGTTTTAATAAATAGTTATCAAATTTTTAATAAATAGTTTTAATAAATAGTTGATAAATTATTAATGAATTTTTGACAAATTATTAATAAATTAATATTAAGTTTTTATTTGCCAAAATAGTAATATACTGAGTGACAACAATTGAAAAGAATTCATCAATATTTTTATTACTAAGTTTAATCAAATTTGACAATAATTCAACTGTCAAATGATATAATTTCAACTAGTGAGATAAAATTTTTTATTTTTATCAAGAGTTTTGTCGAAATTATTTTTTTAAATTAAATTTATAAATTAAAGTCACAAAATAATCATAATAATATATAATTTAAATACTATAAAAAATATTTTATTGTTTATTATAATAAAAATATATTTTCTGCTTATAAAAATATAATAAATCATTAAATAAACTTTAATAAATAATTTTTTTGATTCTAAAAAACATATTTTTAAAAAAATTTTTTATATTCGCAAAAATTTTTATTACTAATTAAAATTTTCCAAAAGCAAGTATCCCACACTGTAATTATATTTAAGCATTTCAACATCCTTTTTTTGGATTCATCTTGTTTAGATGACCACAGGAACCCTAGAGTTGAAGTAGAATATTCGTTCAAGTGAGACACATATCCAAAATTTCATCAAAACCCATCGGCAGCCAATCCTGCCCACTTTTAACAAACATAACGTCATCTTGCAAATACATAGTAACTCCGCCAGCACCTTCGGGGGTACCTCCCATACGATAAATAGGTTTTCCCGAAAGTTTATGAGTTTTGTTAGTAAGTAAAAACAAAAGATTGTTTTCTTGAGCAAATTCTTCAACTATCTCAAAGAAGGTGATCTCTTCACTATCAAATGTACGAGTGGTCTTTGTAGAGGAAGATTGAGATGGTTCGATAGTTGGGCTTTGTTGTCTCGATGGGTGAGATAATCTAAAGTTAATAAAATCATTAAAGATTAGAAAATATAACGCAAATATGATAATTTTCTAAATTCACTGACCTGCTAGTCGATTCTTTTCCTAATGAAATGCTTTCTTCTATTAAGGATAACCCTTTTGCAAATTGAGCTTCAATGACTTGTTCGGTACGCATATCAGGAGGGAACATCGATTTCCAAAACATATACCTATCAAATCTAATTTTAATCAAATTTCACGCGACGGTTTCTAACTACATGCAAAGTACAAATCAACCCACCATTGTCTTATCTCATCATATTTAGGGTTATTTTTCAACCATGTATAAAGGACATCCAACCACTTTGGGAAAAACTCTGACTCGAAAAGTTTATTAAACACGTTGGAAGCAAACATGTGTTGCCATTTCATAACGCAATTGAAAAGACCTATAAATTAAATAAGAAATTATTAGAATTCCTAAAATTTCTTAATAATTATTTATTAAATAAAGTCATTACCTAACTCTTGTTTTCTAGGATTAATTTGGAACCTCGAGCGTATCAGCTCGGATAGTTTAGGTAGGATGGATTTAGCAAGAAGTGATTGCATGTCTATTGGCTGGAGAACCTACAAATTATTGTCGAATATTTTAATCACAATCATTAAATATTAAAAATGTACAATTGAGACTTGTTAAAGTAGATACATTTTTCCAGGGTTTCAAAATGGCTAACGCACGAGGATCTGTGGGATCCCAATTCTGTAAAATAAGACCGAATTTCTGACGTACGGTGACATATAACGGATCCATCCTCTCTCCTAACAGGGGTAGCCAGGGATGTAACCATTGATGTATCATTCCGGTGTCTGTTTTCGGATTCCACATATCGATTTCGTATGTCAATTTTGGCATTATTAGTTGATTAATTATATTCTCGCGAATAAAAACTGGAAGTAATGAGTGCCAATCTTCGAGCAGACGGATTGCTGAATCAAAATCTCGCGCATTCCATGAGTTGCTTAAAATATAAAAAAAAAAAGATTATATAATGCATAAAATGTCTAATAGAACATTGACTGCATAAAACTGAGGTTACTTTATAGCTGATCTAACTTTCGGAAGCCAAACATTATACATCATATTCTCATATGGGGTCATCGTCAATTCGCTATAAGAGATCATTTGTTAGAAAAGTTTCAGAAGCAATTTATTGGAAACCCAATGTTTACCTCGAATGTAATTTGTTCCTATAATTTAATCTCGCATAATTTTCTGGTGAAGCTTTTGTTATTTTGAACAAACCATTCCATTCTTGGAGCTCATTCAAACCTAGCTTGGGATTTTTCAATGGTTCCCAATTAATCAAACATCGTTTGAACTGTGTGAAAGAGAATTATGAGTACAGGGTCTGCTATAAAATATATTTAAATAATGCAAAGAATTCACTTAATTACAAACCAAGGGAGTTATTATAGAGACCACAGCAGTATCCAAACCATAGGTAACGAACTCATCTAAATATTCAGTTTGCAACTTCCTAAAAAGGTCCGAAAATATGCGCAGCTCGGGAGATTCAGAAGATAGAGAGACTGTGAGCAGCTCGTTGCAGTCCTTAATAATAGCCATAATTTCTCCGAGTCGGCTTATACCTGAAAGGAAAATCAATGATTGAAGGCTTGGTCGTCAAGAAAAACAACGTTGAATTAGCAATAACATATAAGTTAAGTTACTTGTGGTCTCTTTTTCCACCAACGTAGAAAATCTTACAATTTCCTGCTCGAGAGATTTTTTTCGTTCATTTTGAATTCTACGTTCCCTTGTAAAGTGTTCCAAATCCGACTTTGACATATCTACTATCAAACGAAGATTATGACGGAGTTCTGGAAAGCGCGAAGAATCATCTAGTATTGAATGAGATGTAATTTGGCTTGCAGAAGAAAGTTCACGAGCCTAGTATGAATAACGAATTATCATCATACAACCGGTAAAAACATGTTAATAGATAGAATTCTATTCTGTTTATACTCTACCTGCGGACCAGTCATATCTATAATTTTCATCGGCTGCACTGGAGTATCAAGGGCCGTTTCGCTCATTATCTCATCCACAGTTTTATATTCAGTTTTAGACTTTTTGGGTTTTGTAGTTTTCTTCCAGGCATTCTTCTTTTCTTTTTGAACTTTTTCATAGTGATCCTTTTCAACGATACTTCGTCAAAATATAAATAGAGGTTAGTTATCGCAATAAAACATTTCGAAACTAAATGTAGAAATTTACTTTTTGCCCTCATTTTTTGATTGTTCTGTCTTTTCTCCAAATCCACGATATGCCAATCCCATCTTGGAGGGTCGTATTTTTGTCTCTATAGGGTTCACAATACCTTTATTATCTACTCCAAGACCCTCGCCCTAGGCAAATATTGTTAAAAATAAGGAATTTAATCTACGTGCATGTGAAATAAAGCTAATATGACCATGAGCCTTACTAATTTGTACCCCATTTTCTGCATGAGTTTAAGACCAATTCCTCTAGTATGTTGTTCAAATTTTCCAAAATTTTTGTCAACACTGCGCGATTGCTTCAGTGTTTCTTGCGAGCTCGCACTTTGCCGTGAATTGGTCCAAGTTTTTCGTTTATTTTTTGTTGAACTAAACTGCATATCAAGCATCTCGTCAAGTATCGTAGATTCTGAATTTCTCCCGTAGCCCAAACCTGTACCTAAACTTTCATCCTCAACGTCTATTTTTGGCGAACCGAATCCAAGCCCTTGACCTCCGGGTCTAGAATCATTGATTTCGCTCAAATTATCAGAACTATCTTTGTCAGTGTCTTCACTTAAAGGTTCCTCTTTCGCTTTCTCGGATACTGGTTTCGATGATGATGATACAAATTGCACATCACTACGTGAGGAATAAAAGTCAGCGGAATCGCAGGTCTTTTAATCAAAATAACCCAAGTACAATTAACCTCTTTTTTTCGTATGTTCCTATGTCTTCTTCATCTTCGGCCCAAATTCCAAGATATGCTTCTTCCTTGGTAATTTTGCGACGCTTTCGGTGATATGTAGGATCTATAGAATAGTTTTTGTTAAAAGCTGGAAATGCTTGTGAAAAGATCAGAAACAAACTGCGTACTTTCAAATAATTCTGCTTCTTCTGCTAAAAGAGTGTTTGAAATAGTAAACGGTTCTCCCTCGCTCTCATTGGAAGAATCGAGATCATCTTCGATGTATCCTCGACGCGGCATTTCGATTTTTCGTTTAGTGAAATGATGAAATGATGAATTTATATATATAAAAATGAGCGATTTTTATTGGCCAGAATTATAGTAATCTCATCATACTGTAATTTCCATAACAGTAGAGTACTGACCAATAATGGTCTCAGAACTAGGTAGCATTCAATATTAAATTTATATAAATACACGTACTATGTTCTCTCTCTCTAAATGCACGGCCAAGCTTGATCCCAAGTATACAGAACCCTTAATAAAATTAACTAACTCTCTAAACTTTAAATGCACATTTTTTAAAATTTTTCATATGGTCCCGAGGGGAGTGCACTTAGAGAGGTTTATCTGTTCTGGTTGATTTAATAATTATATTTGGTATATAATATAATATCGAGTATATGTGATAAATTACATTCAAGGTTGCATTTAAAAAATATAAAATTTGCAATAAAATAACGAAACTTTTCATGTATATACTGTATATATATACTGTATTTATTAGGTAGTCGAGCTTACTACGTCACTTTTATATGATTGGCTGATCAGGTTCAAATGAATTTCATTGGCAAATTTTAGATTCAGATTTCCAAATACGCAAAATACAGCGGAATCATCGATGACGTTTCAATGAATATCTGACTTCATGGCCCGTCTTTCGATATATAAATCACTTTTCCGAAATTTCAATGAAAAACTTTCGACAGTTAGAGCAGCTTTGCTGTTCCTTTGATTTAATATAAGAAACAAATTTTTATGCCCATAGGCATTTTACCTTGAACGTCGATAACAATTTGATTCAGGACCGTCATCGTTGTCCTTGCCATAACATACTATACTATATACAGTCATGTCGGGCTCTGAATACTCCACTCCTGATATTTTTGCGAATAGACTAGGAGATCCCAAAATAGGTACGCTTCCTCCTGAAAATTATTATTTTTTTTTTAGAGAGATTTAAAGTACAGGACCTGTGTATCAGAGGTGTTCAATCACCTTCTATACTTGTTTAATAGCACTTAAAACGAAAATAGGGATCGCAATAAATTTGAGGGATTCGGTAGAAATATATCAAAATGCAGATTATACTCGTTTTCTCCAACTTATGATGCCTGTGTTGACAAAAATATTAAAGGAAGAACCTCCGGTGTTCGATAGCAATTCCGAAGAACAGGTAAGACTGTTCGGAATAATATCTTTTTATGCTAACGTATTTCGAGCTTAATCCCATTCTTTTCCGTGGCAATCATTTTTTTTAGAAACTTCGCAACCTTCTTTTGGAAGTGTTGCATCGATTACCTCAAAACGATCCGCTATTACCATATGCTGCTAACCTGTTAGAACTTCTAATGGCTTTATTAAAAATAGAGAATGAAGATAACGCGGTTATCTGTTTGAAAATTATTATTGACTTATACCGAACTTATAAGCATCAGCTTAAAGATCACGTACAACAATTCTTAGGCATTGTACAAGAAATGTATAAAAATATGGAACAAACAGTCAAAGATGCTTTCGACTCGCAGACTGCTGCCACTCCAAGCGCTAGCACTGTAAGATAATTTAGAATTCCATTCTGTTTTAGAAACGCGTTTTTCTTTTTTTTTTTTTGTTTTTTTTTTACATAAACCACGTGACAGGTAATTTATCGCGTCGTTACGTGTTATTAGCCAATTCAGCCAATAGTTCTCGTACCTCCTTCCCCACGCCCATCATCCCCCGTATCAGACGTCACAACGAATGAAACCACTCCAAACAAGGTCTTGGCCAGAAGCATGTATAGCTTTAAAGTTTTGACCGAATGTCCCATCATCGTAGTTTTGCTCTTTTCAACCCACCGTAACTTCGTGAACACGAATATTGAAAATTTTGTCCCCCTGGTTGTACAGGTGTGTATTTAGAATTCGGACCTAATATTTGTGCATAATATTATTTTTATGTATACTCATGTCGGTTTAAATTAGACCCTCGGCTTGCAAGCCCGTCCACAAGCCGAAGCACACGAAGCTGCTAAAGCAAAGGGTGAATTATTTATCGGAGTGGCCCCGGGTATTCGTGATCGCGCAAAATATACGGAGTTTATTGTCGCTCAAGTAAAAGTAAGAGGATAAATATTAATCGTCACATTATTTGATCTTAATCTATTGCTTTTTCTTATCCCTTATGCATTATTTTCCTACAGACAATGTCTTTTCTGGCATATATTTTACGCGTCTATACGTCAGCATCACTCCGGTATAAAGAGATGATTCCAGATTTTGTCATAAGGCTACTCCAAGATTGCCCGCCAGAGGCTTCGGCCACCAGAAAGGTAATAATAATACACTGAATTGTTGAATAGTCGTGTCTTCTCTTGGATATCGTCATTTACTATACATACATTTAGGAATTGCTGGTTGCGACAAGGCATATTATTACAACAGAATTTCGAACCGCCTTCGTTAGTAAAATCGACATACTTCTCAACGAGAAAATTTTGGTCGACAACGGAATTACGTCCCGTGATACTCTTAGGTATTTTATTTGTGATCACGTGACCATACGTTGTTGTCTCTATTATATTCCGCTGAAAGGAAATGATTACGTTGTATAGACCATTGGCTTATAGCATGCTGGCTGACCTTGCTCATCATGTGCGAAATGAGCTTTCTCCGTTGCAGTTATCAAAGACTGTATACGTATATTCTCGCAATTTACATGATCCGACATTAGCCGCAAACATTCAAACAATGTGCTCCAAGCTTCTTCTAAATTTAACCGAATGTATCGTGAATGTTTCGAAGACAGATGAAGAAAAAGGTCAGGTGATATATTTGTGATATCCTTTAGAGCGAGATTACTTAACAAAAAATAATTGAATTTGTACCTTTTGCTATATTCGATGAATTATACAGCTCGGGATTTGCTTATCAAGATTTTGGATACCTTCGCCAATAAATTTATGGCTTTGAATTTGATGTTTTCTGACATTCGACGGCAACAGCAAAAACGAAAAAATGACGCTGCCAATGATTGAAGGCTTGGTCGTCAAGAAAAACAACGTTGAATTAGCAATAACATATAAGTTAAGTTACTTGTGGTCT